TCACGTACTAACGTTTACTATCATATAATAAACAAATATAATTTTTTTACGTATTTGAAGTAACATGTATTAATTATCTATCATTCACCGTTTGTCCAAACAAAATTGTTACTTCTACGTTCGACGAACATACTTATCCACAGTTTCAGACGAGCTGCTAGAGGAACAGGAAGTCGATACGGAGAAAGGGCGACGAAGATGAAGCTAAAAGTGTATGCAGACCGAATGTCTCAACCATCTCGGGCAGTTATCATTTTCTGCAAGTACTTCTTCTTCTTCTTCTTCTTTCTAGGTTTTCCATGCTTCTATCAATTTACTTTAATTTCTTCATCATTTCCCAATCAGGGTCAACGGTATTGACTTTGAGGAGATTAAAGTAGATATATCCAAGGGCCAGCAGTATTCTCCTGAATTTAGAGGTCTCTCTCTCTTTTTCTCCTCCCCCCGACAAATTTCAGTATTACCATAGACATATATGTGGGTGTTTATGTGTGTGCGGGTGTTTGTGTATGCAAAGAGTCTATTTATATGTATTGATCCTGTCAAACAGACAATCAGGATATGATGCATATAATTCATTCTTTGGCTAGTAAAACAGAGTAAAAAATATAATATCTCAAATTCAAAGCGCAGAAGCACTTAGTCGTCATATGATTTTTTCTGGGATATTGGAGTTAATTGAGCTATGCTTTGAGCTCATTAGATTTTGCCATGATGATTATATCCTTTGAATATGAGTGCTGGACTTGGATATGAAAATGTTCCCACCCCATTTCTGGATTTGGGTACAGTACCATATTTTATATTATATAATACAAGCACCAATTGATATGCATAGAGTTCTTGTCTGGCACGTAAGATATGTTAGTGGTAGTGTTTTTTAGTGCAACATAGCATATACACAAATGTTTATGAAGAAAGTTCTGACCACTTTCTTTTATTTATTTTAATGGACATTACAGACATAAACCCTATGCGAAATGTTCCAGCTATAGTTGATGGAAAATTTAAGCTGTTTGAGAGGTACTAAAACTTGAATTATTTTTATAGTCATCCATTCATTAGCTGGCACTTAATATGGGCCAGTTGGGACTGCTTCTCAAATGTTAATGTTTTTACTGCAAATATTTTACTTTGATGTATGTTGTGTGTGATATTCTTTTATATTTATGATTATGGATTCTAACGGCTAAATTGTTTATTTGACTTAGTCCAAGATATATCATGTATTAGTTTTTGTGCTCTATTGGTAATGATATAACTCAGTCATTCTATGTTCATGTGAGACATACCAGCTTATAGCTAAGTGGTTGATTTATTACTAAATGTTTGTAATTGTTCCATATTTTAGTCAGTTAAGACTCTTAGTTTTTTTCTGCTTTTCTTTTTTCAAAATAATCTCCTGGGACATTGGAGTTTGCCGCTTTTTCCTATGATCTAGCTTAATGTACACTGAATTTCAAAGGACCATGTCAAGGTTTTTTAAATATTTGTTTTACTGCTTTCAAATCCTATTTAGTTACCCTCTCTATTTTACTTTTGCAGTCATGCAATTCTTATCTACCTTGCTTGTGCATTTCCTGGAGTGGCAGACCATTGGTAAGTTTAGTGTTACCTGTTATGCACCCATGGTTAGTTCTTCAATATGTCCTACACACATATACATATGAACAAAAAAAAAAAAAAAGAAAAATGATTTTGGCTCAAAGTGCATGTAAAAACTATCCAATGAAGG